CCGGTTGTAGTAAGAAAACCAGGACGAATTTAAACAGAAAGATTTTGAAAGCACAGAAAACTGTGCACCTTATAATCAGCATGACTTTATCAAATAACAATGCGAATAGTAAAAATCATGGCAAAAATTAAGTCGAAGGTACTTTAATTCAGTCACGGTCCCGATATGTCGCGGGGGTATTCTAGTTCTGTTTAATACAACCAAAGATTATTCTGTTTCACCAATAGCCAATATGCATTACGAATTGTGACTCGCCAAGGAAGAAATATCCAGTCTTGCAATTAAAAGCAATGTGCGTTCTAAATGTACTAATAATACAAAACCAAATCTAAAGAAATTTCAAATAAAATCAACGGATGACAATGATGGAAAACCATGATCAAGTTGTATGACTGACAGCTCGTGGATACTTTCAAGAAATAAGGAAAAACTTTTGACTAACAATAACAACAATTAACACAACTAGTATCTCAATTGTTTGTAAAACAATTGAAAGGTCTTTCCTGTAAAAGTGATGTTTTTGTAATGTACTCTTTACGACCTTTCATTTGATATACGACAAGCATACTTTTTGAACCTTTTCACTTTTTACACTTCATGACCCATTCCGTCAAAATTTTCGAGATCGGAAGAATGATATTTGTAATGAAGACCAAATGACCTTTCATTTGCTATGCGACAACACCATTTTCTAGAAAGTTTTATTTTTGCACTTAATAACCCCATCTTTCTCATTTTTGGAGGACAGGAATTTGATATTTGAAATGTACACATTATGACCTTTCATTTGATATATGACAACCTTACCTTATGAGACATTGTATTTTTTGCACTCAATGACCCCACCAACGCGTTTTCGGGGGATGTCAATTTGATATTTGAAATTTACGCTTTATGGACTTTCATTTGATATGCGACAACCTAACCATCCGAGAAGTTTTATTTTTTTGCACTAAATGACCCCACCCTTCGCACTGGGATGAAAAGGGGGTTTCAAATTTTCATTTTTGAGTAGAGCTCATTTAGGGGTGCAGGCCGTTTCGTAACCTGGTCGTTTCGTAACTAGTCGATTCGTAACTTACTATGTCGTTTCGTACCTGAGACGTTTTGTAACCTTATATCAATATATAATAACAATATGAGTCGTAGGTTTCTCATTCTTGGATAAATACACTGAAACCCAGATGTCATGTAGTACATTGTAAAGGAGGTGTGCTTTTGTTTACGGATCAACTGCTGCTGCTGCTCCGGCCAACCAGAGACATATATACACACAGAGATTGGCAACTCCGTGAAATCAGAGACATATATACACATATGTGTCTGGGCCAACTAAGACTTTGTTTCATGTTTATACCAGGGTTTTCGGATGAAAATCAGGCTTTATGCCAGTATAAACATGCAAACAAAGGACAACATAGTGATGTATATGAAAGAAAGAAAAAGAATAGAGTAAGATAAAGTGTTATAAAAAAACAAACTTTAACTCCGCCAACGCCGGTCCCCAGCCCTGGTGAAAAAGAAGGAGGGTTATGCAATTGTATGTAAAAGTGAAAAAAAAGAAGAAAATATTTATTTTTTCAGGTCGTGTGCCATTAATCTAGTTAATCATTTTACACCTACTGTAATTACTTTTTTATTACCTGTCATTAGTTGTCATACCATGTTAAACTCTTCATTTTCTGAAAATTTCAGGTTGTAAGCTGTTGTTCATTCAGAAATACATGCCTCCGCTTGCAAAATTTTAAACTGCATTATCTCTAAAACGACAGCAGATATCTCAAATCTGCTAAGTGATAAATGATCTGCAGTTAAAGGACAACATTGTAGAAAAATTGGGACACTTCCAAGGTTCATCAAGGTCACAATGAATCATCAAATATATGATGCAATACCAAACTTGAGAACCGTAGGTCGTAGAGACATGGGACTACCACCATTCAACGCAGGACCACTTGACCTTTCAAATGTCACAAGGTCAAGGTCATAGTACGCTTTGAAGGTCAAGGTAAAATTTCATCATGACCTGACATTGACCTCAAATTGAAGGTCTTAAAATACTGATCATGTTTGCAGTTTATAGTAGGTTGATATCTGTTTTCTTTTCAAAGATATACACACAATACTATACTTTTAAGAATTATCTCGTTGTAACTTTTGAACAGACGGTCGGACATTTTTGAGCTTAATGTATAAAATGTAGAGCTCGTCGAGAGGAACATTTTATACACAATATGTATGCAGCAAACTCTTATTGTTTTCTTAATATGTAAGCTTGAAATTGCAGCGTGAATTTTTTTGGCACTCAGTGACCTTTGACCTTGGGTGCAAATTAAAGGTCACATGAATTAAAGATTATTGGTGAAGGTCCTAAGTCTCTACGACTTCCGGTTCTGGAAATAGAATTTAAAAAAAATTGTGTATAATTTTTCAAGTGAAATAACTCCTTATAAGGGTTAATAACAAAACAATTGTTTATGTTTATTAACATTGCCATCTGTTCTTGTACATGCTGCCATTTTCAAATCGATTCTATCTCTAATAGTTTTTAAGATAAATGCAAATAAAAGAAATTGCTTCAAGGGAATATAACTCTCAAAGGGGATGATGAAATCCTACGTGCCCTCGTATGGTTATACACCATGATGAGATCTAGATCTACCTATTGTCCAAATAAGGTCATGATATCTTCAAAAACAACGAGGGGGCCATGTCGAAAAAAAAAACAATACAAGGGAGATAACTCTCAAAGGGGATGATGAAATCCTACGTGCCCTCATCTGGTAAGAGTTCATGATGAGGTCTATCGATGGTCCATATTTGGTCTTGATAACTCCAATAGAAACGGGGGAGGCCATGTCAAAAAAAAATGCTGGAAGAAAAAAAAAACATTAGAAAAACAATAAGGTCTTTCCTAACGGAGTGGAAAGACCTTAATAACATTCGTTAACTAATAAACCAATGTTATACAATCTAAATTAACAGCCGTTAACTTAAAACAAGTGTTATGTCATCTGAATTAACACTCGTTAACAAATAAACCAACCCTATACAATCTAAATTAGCAGCCGTTAGCTTAAAACAAATGTTATGTAATCCGATTTAACATTCGTTAACTAATGAACAATGCTATGTAATCTGAATTAACACTCGTTAACAATTGTAAGTAATCTGAACGAAATAAATGGAACAAAGACATTACAAAAACAATTTCAAATAACTGTTCTTCCTTTCCATCTGGTGGCAGATATTGCATGCATATACGAGGACAAATTAATCCTAATCTAGGAGTAGGGATGATATTGCATTTACTTTGTACACCCGCCTCTTCGACCTTTCGTCCAAAAAATATTTCAAATTTTCCACTCAATATATTGATTTCATGTTTGGTCAGCAGCTTTATAGTGATGATTTGTAACGTTTGAGCACTTTTTATATCTGTCAGATACCTACTTCCTGTTTGTCCATTCTTTGAATTGTTCAATATGTTTTATGACCTTACAAATTTTCTTCAAATTTTTCTCCAGTACAACAAAACAGAATGACATCAAATTTAGTCAGAAACTTTGCAGTGACGAATTAAAACGTGTGAGCATTTTTCGAATTTGTCCAATTTTCCTTTACTCTGAATAACAAGAGATGTATGCTTAGCACGATAACACGTGCAATATCTTGTTGGACATTCTAATATGACGTGCTTCTTTCGCTTTGTAAACAACTCCGTGATAGAATTCTCGATATATCTATACTTAGCGCAGATTCAGAGATGTACATAATAATGGATGTTACATTATACCTCCCACGTAAATCCATATCTATCGTAACCTATGTGCAAACGCTATGCCGATTTCGCTGTGTTAAAAATTGCAATTGAAAAAAAAAATACAGAACCTTTATTCTTATTCTTATGCATAACAAAAAGAATTAATGCATCAGAGCTCGGAAAAATGTACAAAATCAAAATAAAATGAAATTCCGCGATATTCCATTAATGCTTTTCATTATAGTCATTTCAAAACATGACGTCATACGAATGATATAGCCAAAGCTGAAGGATAATATTGCATTAAAATCGAGTTATGAGGTAGGTGTTGTTTTTTTTTTTCCCTATTCTATTGCATTATTCGCACATTTACTGATTTCAGCAAGTCAACATGGCGGCTCCTTAGTTACAAAATGTCAACTGTGGATTTGACGGTAGCTTACGAGAAAAAAAAATGTAAATTAAAAATGGCAAATGTTGGAGGTGAGAATTAAAAGAATTAAACACATTTTTTTTTCTAGCGGTTATTCAAAAAATAATGCATGCAAGCTATAGATTTATTGGAAATTTTTAGTTTTATCTAACAGGGGGTAAAATAAAACAGTCGCACACACAGCATACCCTCTCTTCAGTTTTTTAAATGACCGTATTTGTCCTATTAGAATCACTAACGCTCAGGATAAAATTCGAAATATCACACTCCAGGCCATGTGTAATTTTCAAACAAATCTATGGCTTCTATGAATTAATTCTTTAATAAATATCAAAAAGGTGAGTTCCAAATTTATTAACATTGTAGGGTTTGTAGGGAAATGTAGTGGTTTCTTTTAACACTGTTTGGATAACTGGTGTAGTCAAATTGAATAATGTTATATTTCTTAATGATCAAATTTAAACATACAATGGGAAACAAAAGGATGTATGCTTTTTCACGGAACAACATCATTAGATGTTTCGTTTCCTTCTATTTGACATGGAAAAAACAACACCAATTTTACAACCGGATTTTGATATAAACGCATATTCTTGACATTATCCTGAGGAATCAAGGATATTGTCGTCTTAAATAGAATTTTAAAAGGTGCAATTTGTCTCTATGCATGTAAAGGTTACACAATACATTAGCTTGAAATTGTATCATGTGATGTAATTAAGTTGTTTTTGGTTGTATATCCATGTATATATCCTGCAATCAGTAATATAAACAATAAACATTTTAATTCTTATGAGACCAGAAAGGTACGGTCATCGAAAAAGGTTGTAATTTTTATCTGCTACAGGTTGTATATTTCAGTTATTTTTAATTTCCTATATTTAAATTGTATGATTCTAACATGTTCGTTCGATTGTATATTTTGATATTTATATCTAGGATCTAACTTATTTCCGTTTGATTATTTTTTTTCCGTAAATCCTGTGGAAATGTTTGTAAATCTAACTTGTGATGGGTTCAACTTTCATTTTAGCTATACTTAACAGTGCAACATCAATAATCTTATAGCCCCATTTTTTCTCGAATAATAAATGTTTTATACGTTGTGCGAAATTAAGTGAGTGTTGAATTTATATAGTATCTGTTGTTACGTTCGTGTTAAACTAACGTGTCCCTGCACCAAGTCAGGCTATCTGGACCATGTGTTTGTATGTGTTTGTATGTGTTGTTTGTCATTGTTTTGTATGACTGTTTTTTTCGGAGGAGACTTTGTGTTTGTGATCAATATGGTCTGTTGTACAGTGCCGTATTTTGTTGGCGATTCCTGATATCCCTTTTTTATGTATTAGAAAAATGACTTATACTTCACAGATACATCTTTATCTCTCAATAATTTCATATTTGCTTTTTTAGATGCTGTTGGGAAATTTCTGTACATTTACCATTTTGCCATTGTTAGTGGCTGTGCATGTTCAGAATGAGTATGATCCTGTTGTTTTAAAGGATTGCTATTCGTACGAAAATATGGACCATTTCCTTACCATGGGAACCTTGGAACAGATCAGATGTTTACAGAAGTATATGTATACCTTTAGTAATGGTATTCTCCGACACGAACTGAATGATTTACTTCAAATCCCTGTCAGCATGGCGTATTTACGGAATGGTGGGAAACAAATGTTGGACATCTTACCAATAATTGAAAGGAAAACCTATGATCTTCGTCCAGAAGCGTTCAAACACCTTATGGTAAGGCAAAACATCTTTTAAAAATTTGTTTCAACTGACTGAGGCATTCGCGTATCACTAAATTGTATTAAACGCATCATTATACATGTACCACCGCTTTCTAAATGCAGTGGCACAGTAAAAGGTGGAAGCCCATCCGTTCGTCCGTTTCTCCACCTTTCCGTCCCTTCGTCCGTTTCTCGGTCTTTACGCCCGTTCGTCGTTCTGTCACACCTTTATATTCGCTACTACTCCTTAATCGCTTAACAAAACTTAGTGGAAATTTCACAAAATCTTACTCACATGATTTACTTTAGACGTCTTATTTCATTTTGCCGTCTCAATTTTTTAAGGGTTTACTGAGGCAGGAGAAATGAAGGTTTTCTCTTATCATGGGACATGACAACGGCAAGATTTTTTTAAACGTCCGTCGCTGACTCTTTAAAAAACAAAATTATCAAACTCATAAAAATGTTGTCATGAATATTTGTAATGGTTTAAAATGGATGTTTCTATCTATGACTGTTTTTAACTTTGGACCAACTCTTTAAAGGCCCAATTCTTCTGACGCGGAAGACCATTGCTTTCGATATTATGTTGACAATTGCGATTACCTCAGCCATTAGATAACTTCAGAACGCCATTCAATATCGTCTTCTAAGCTGTTATGAACATCCTTCTATTTTATTTTATTTCAAATGGCAATTTCAGAGGTGTGAAGGATCATTTAGAGATAATTTCTATCATTAACCCAAGATGAAAAAAATAGTATGGATGGTCACGAATGCATTATTATATGTTTCAAAATGTTGATATAGCACGTCTATTAAAATTTTCTAATCTGCTTATAATTTTTGTTTTAGGGTTTGATAAAGAATCGGGCCAAAAGGTCAGAGAGACATAAATTAAAAATCGGTCATACACACCATCCACCATCCGATCTCGAGCAGATTGCTCAGGACATTGTTCAAGATTCACCTGCGCCTAATATTACGAAACCGTTCCCCATTCATTGGAACTCAACAGACACAAGAACGATTCGTAATGCCTCGGCTGATACCTCAAGTTCTTTGGACCAAGCTGTCAATGTCGAAAACTTAGTGAAACATCTAAATAAACATCGCTCATGAGGATTTCATAAATCTGATCGACTTTCAACAAGTTGGTACCGTGCCTACTTGCGACAAGATGTAAAATATTAAAATCCGTGTATATTTTAAAATGTGCTGCGACAGAAAACATTAATATGATACATTATCATGCTTAAGGCAATTGCAAATTATGTAATTACTTATTTATGGTCGGGATGATTTTAAAAAGGAGTATTAATAAAATTACAAAAAATGCAATTATCCACTTAATAAATATTTAATAAATATAAACAAAACAAAATAATAAATGTATTTTAAGTCCTTATTGATGGTGATCAAATCTACACAAGAATAAGAAGATGTGGTATGATTGCCAATGAGACAACTCTCCATCAGAGACCACCTGACGTAGAAATTAGCAATATAAGTCACGGTACAGCCTTCAACAATGATATATTATATTCATTTTTGAATGTATATTTTTATTCTCTATTTAAAACAACGACAGCAATGACAGAAGAGGCTACGCTCTATTCTCCGTATATAAAAAAAATCCTACTGTAATGAAAACAATATGTTGAAGACTGTAAGCGAAAGATGGAGTTTGGTAATTGTTGGTATCGGGTTGCTGTCTCAGTGACGTATCACACATCACCTTTTTTCAAGTTACATTATCTAATAATTCTCTGCTGGTTGGGAAATTTCTGTACATTTACCATTTTGCCATTGTTAGTGGCTGTGCATGTTCAGAATGAACATTACATTAATTACTACTACATCGAAACGTACTACGATTTAAGAAAATTAAACAAACCCAAACGCCGCTTACTGTATAGGAAAAAAATATCCATCGATCAATATTATTGAAAAAAAAGAGTGGAGACAGACTGATAGTCAAATGTGTACTTTCATATTGTTATAGTAGGTCACATACATTTTGGGAAGTCACAAAATAATTGTAATGCGGGAGAACTCTTAGAAGAAACGCTGGGAAATTGCAATGATGAGGTTGCTCAAATATGTTGTATTCGATGTTTGATTGAGTTGTATACAAAAGCAATTCCTGAACTCCAAATGCCAAGATGACATTCACAGTAAGGTAAAATAAAGTTGGTCAAATTTTATGAAATTTTAGCAAGATAAAAAAAATATCAAAACTCTCAAAGAAAAATAAAATGGAAATGAGACTTGAATTGCAACGAATAAATTAAGTTTGTTTTGTCTTGCGAGTTTCATTCCCTTGATGCTGTTTAAATTAGAATCATGCAATTGGATTCATTGGAAAACTATGCAGATGAGGTGACAAAAAGAAATAGTAACCAAAATAAAAAAGGTGATTGACACTATTTCTTTTATTTAGATTACACCAAAAAGGTTTGAAGAAATAAAATTTCTGAAAATCTTGTTAAGGAACTATGTTGTAATTCTATATTTAGTTAAGATAAAATACACATGAGAGCATGACGGACATATGGACGAACAGACAAAAGGACGGTCGCCCGGTATTTCTGTGCCCCCTTAACGCGTCGCATTGGGAAACAAGGAAACATTTACTGTGAAACAGACGAAGATCAGAACAAGCATGATGAAAAACTTTATGAAGAAAAAGTCTAGAAAAGCGCTTCGGACGCACCAAATGTAATAAGAGGTATTTGTATTCCGTCTTTTAAAACAAAACCAAGGAGCCCGAGAAAGATACTGATCGGACGAAGGTAAAATTATCGAAATATTCTTAAATAAATTTAGGACAACCCATGCTTTGCAAATTTTAGTGAATCCGACCCTGAATTTCATATCATGCACTTTAAATATAAAAATTTATACACACCTTCATGGACAATAAAAATATATAAAGTCACTTCATTTTCCAAGTACAAATAGACAAATATTAAATGAGAAACGGGATGAGCGAATGGTGTTAATCAAATCTCATTGAAACCGTTTCTCATCGATGCAGAAGGCGATTTAAAGGTAACTGTGAAACCCAGTTTTGTTTGGAACAGGCCTAAGTATAAGTTAATTATTTGGAATGAAGTGAAGACCCAGAAATATAACGTTCCTTGTGAGGACACTTATGTAATTTAAATAAAGTGAAGGAAGATCCCGTTCTCCAGCTTGTATTTAGTTGAAATTCTAAGGGATGATAATGCAGACTTTAATAATATACGAGATAATCTGAGCATGAAATCGATAATTGAATGAAAATAGTATCGAGACCATGGTGGCATTAAAAAAAACACAAGTAGAAGAAACACAGACAAATCATACTTAAACAAAAAGACAATAGAAAAACAAAAGTCAAAATTAAAACATTTGAATTTATGAACGGGAATATAGAGGCATATTCTTCATCGTGTTTTTCGGTAAGGTTTTGTGAAAACATATTTGAAATATATTTATAAGATATCTTATTAACTGAATAGATATCTTGAAATTGAATAAATATAAAAACGGCTTGCCATATAGAACTCTTCTACCTAAAGCTTGATTTTAATAAATAGATATTTTGAGTTTAAAAAACGATATTATTTAAGGTTTCAAGCTAATGGCCAAATTTAGTATGTTGATCAAACATTACACAATTCAAATTTTAAAAAGTATACTTTGAAATGCTCCAGTGTTTATTTCTAAGCTTAATCCAAAAAAAAACATGAATATATTTCTATTGCGCATTAGGAACAATCACGCTTATTTGAAATAACTGTACTGTGTTGCAAGTGGCCCGGCGTCAATTGCAAATTTATTCTAGGCACAGAAATTTAAACGGGTATTTTGACACCCAAATCTAAATTAAGATCGCAACACATTATGACATTGATCACAATTACCTTGACCGTCAATCATGGAATTGCAGGGACTAATAGGACAACATATATACCCGATAACTCAGACCCTAAGGACGATGAGATTTTGAATCAACAATGGTTAAGCACCAAGTCCAGACCATTTCCCCAACATCGTGTATAAAAATGTATTATGTATGTAGTCTTAAGCAAAATAATTTCCAAAAATGTAATTGTTTTAGATACATACCTACACCTTTTCGTCCAGTTTTATGGTGGGGATCGCTTTTCGTGTTGCGCAATTTTCATTTTTCTGTATAGAGATTTGTTTTTATTGTTTGTCTTTTTATCACAAGGTGTTGTTTGTTTTTATTGGCCCTTTGGTCATGTTTGTATCTTCCTTATTTTCAACACTGCAACAGCCCAAATTATACTTCACCATATGCGAAAAAAATCCATTCAGCTTAATTAACAAAAAAAATGTTAAAAAATATGTGCATTTAACATAGCGTTTCCACGGACAGTCCGAGAAAAAGATAAACGTGGTCTTCTGTGATAGGTGACACTGTATCGGATATATCTCTTTTATTGATAATGTCACCATGTTTATTCCGTGTTGGAGAGGTCCTATGACAGAACAGAACGTGGAACAATACGGTGAACTAATTGCTTTACGAACTATTGTAAATTTCAAGCCCGTAACATGTGTCAAATAACCTACGACGACGAGGGTGGTTTTTAACGACCCTGACTACCCATGAGGGTATTGCACGGTCGGTAACCGGACACTTGTTCCGATATAGTAAAGGCATGTAACTGTGACGAATAGCGCGCAAAGTCTCGCCACACAAGATACAACGATAAACTCCGAGATTCGAATCATGCTTTCTATATAAATTCTTGGTTTATCTTACTAGTGTATTTTTAAAAGGTTAATCCAGAAAGCATAAAATATGACTCGTTATGACTACATTTTCCATACATTGTACTTATCGAACCCAGGATAACGGTAGTTGATGAAAAAGATAACACGATGAATTATAACCCACAAACCAGCCAGGAGGACAAGCAGATAAAACACAGCCTATATGAAGATCACTAAAGTCTTTTTAACTAATGTTATGTTTTTTTTTTCAATTCACAAACTTAACCAAAAAATAATAACGACTTGTTTTTTACAATATTTAAAAAAAAGAGAAATACCGAATTTCTTTGTAAAACGACGATATTTTATGAAAAATTTTGTCCTTGTATGCAGAGGCAAAACTGAAAGTTATCCATTAACTTTGAAGACGTAGTATTGACAATATTTGGCTTCGTATATAAGCACATCGAATAAGCTAAATATTTTAGCTTATTTAAAGTAATCTGCATTTATTCCTTCCCCTAGTCTTGTGAAAAAAGAATGATTGAATTATCTTCAAATAAGTGTTTTGCAAGCTCTTATGTCATAATAGACAAAAATATTTCCGTGCTTCATATGAGATTCGGTCAATGCTTTTACACCCCAATAAAGTTACAAAATGAAAGACTCAAATCTTTAATAACATGGGCCTATGGTATTTGTACCAAAGCACCATATATACTGCACACCTTACAACAGTGGTATACCATGTTTTACAGTATGCCTAATAGCAAGCCAAAGACTTGTTTGTACTTTCAAACCTTAAGGTGAACTCGTTCAAGACGACATGCATAAATCTATAAATAAGTATACTAAATTTTTTTGAAACAAATACTTACATGCTGATAACAACAAGAACAAAGGAACTGTCATCGCCATAGCCTTGATAATTCATATGGTCTAGTACTAAAATGTATAGTCATTGAATCTTACACTAGTTATTATATCTCAACTACAATACTATGGTCTCTTGATTTTCTCATAAAATTTAGTGAACCTTGTCAACCTTCATATCCTTGTGACCTTCAATTTAAGACCTAGATAACCTTATTTTGTTGAAGGATCCATTTGATTGGAAGAAACATTAACTTTTTGTCTGTACGCTAGTTCTATACATTTATATTAATTTGTCATAGATATAGATATACAATGGAAAATCAAAGAGAAGACCATCTTTGGTTCACAATAGATAACATCCAGTTGAAAAGTTGGATAAAGACTACTTTTAACGTTACTTACTTGGTCTTTCATGGATCTTTTTTTTTTTAAATTGATGTATGTTTGTCACGTATTGTAGTTTTAAATTTCATTGAATTGTTTTCCCTTTTTCTAATGTACTAGTACTCAAAGTGCATGAGTGTTATTGTATATAATAGAATGAATCTTATATTTCTGTGAGACTACACATTTTCTCTTTTCCGGCTTGATATTGTACCATTTGCCTTGTTCTACTGGAACTTTATCATTTGACAGATATATAGGGTATAACATTAAAGGTTGTTTTTGGTAAGAATGTATTTAAACAAGTAGGTTTATGCACACCGTTTTGGGCTATATTTACCACCGGTCAAGCATCTACAAGTGGTACATGTACAAACGCTTATTCAGGATTGTTCCTAAT